TAATGGATCACATGACGTAGTAGATATGCTGTCATCTTTCCCATCACATAGCCTGTTGAGTCTTCATGTTGGTGAGGAGTCGAGTAGTCCTTTATTGATCCTCGTGCAAGACCTAGATGACTTGAACTGGGAACATAAGGCTAGGATTAGTGATTCCTTACAAGAGGTCATTAAAAACATCTGTTGATGGATGTGGCTGCTGAACTTCTCACCCGTCATCTTGGCCAAGCTCTTGATTCCCATCAGTGATGCAAGACGAAGTTGCTCTCATAATAGGCATGACCAGAAAAATTTTGTTGAAGATGAATAAATACTGTTGAGGAAGAATGTTGAAGATATTATACCACTGAAGAAGAGTAGAACAAGATGAAGCTCTAAGACGACCTCCCCAGTGGAGGCGCCATTTTTGTTGGGGTGTGTTGCTGATGTAGGTTGATAAGTCAGTAACAGCGATGATGTGGAGGCTAACTAGGATGCCACCCATGAAAAATGAGGAGAGACTTGGTGACACTTGTTTAACATGCAGAAGGCTACATGTTATGGGTCATCTCATTTTGTTCAACGATGATGTCTAGCATCAAACTCTCCAACAAAGTTTAAAAGTATAAATTTTCTAGCCAAGACGTGAAAAGGAGAGATGAGCAAGGGTGACAAAGTTCCAAGAGCTGAGAATGATCACACAACTACTAAAAGTATGAAAAGAAAATATACATTGTGGTAAGAGCATCAAGGTCGGTAAATACATGAAGATTAAGAATCATAACTTGAGAAGCACATTTACACATAAAATATTGTAATATAATAATAATGACAATAAATGTGCCCTCTATTATCTCTTATAAATACTCTCACTCTATAATGAACAACCCTCATGATGCAAGTGAAAAATACAACAATCCCTCCTTTCAAGCTTTTTCAAGAACAAAAAGAATAAGGTTAAACCCCATTTTGGTCCCTGAACTATTGTACGGCCCCCAATTTGGTCCCTAAACTCAAAAAATCCCTAATTTGGTCCTTACTGTTTACCTTTTTTTACCCCAATTGGATCCTTCCGTTAAAAATCTACCCACGTGTCCGTTGACTAACAGAAACCTAATGTACACGTCAAAACATTATGTTCACATGGAAAGCCAGCTAGCAACAAAATAATGATTTGGCAATAAAAATTTTTAAAATTCTTTCTCCTTCATCTTTCCCTTTCTCTTTCCTCTTCTGATGAGAACCCCAAAGAGAACAATGAGACCCACAGCATGACAAGGTGATGGGAATCAAGACAACAACATATCTACTACGTCATGTGATCCGTTACACAGCCAAGGAGGTCCAGTCACGCGAGCTAGGGCTAAGAAGATGCGTGAAGCTTTAAATGGCCTTATTGAGCAGATCTGGGTTGAAAACAACATACAACAAGCAAATCGAAGCTTGGATGATTATCAAGGCATGGTAAACATCATTCAGG